AATGCCTATGAAATGTGGATGATGATGATAGAAAGGTTTCTAGTGGACTTGATCTCTCTATATTGTGTAGAATTGATGTATAATTTCTAACAAATTGTATTTATTGGTATAGTCCACTTATAGTGGCGGTGTTTATGTAGTGATAATGTGATTATCATAGACTTGTCGCCATTATTTATTCAAATTGTCGCAATATCATGCTAGGGCTTATATGAAGGTATAATTTGTAGATATTTATGAGAAGTACTCTTGTAATGCTTATCTTTTCTTCTCTGAATAATAATGTTATGATTCTTCTTTAAGTGATAGTATATGATTATAGAAGGCTAAGAGGTGTCTTATGTGATGATAATGTGTATTTATGTGTGAGGTTAAATCATGTTTTTCTTGAACGATTGTATGTGAATATGGTAGACTATGTGAGTTTCCATATGTGTTGATAGGGTATGTTTGTGGTAGACGTCGTCGCTTTACTTTGTACTTAAATGATATTGTATAAAGGATATGATAAATGTTCTCTTAATTCAAAAAACCTACGTCCCTTTTCTTGCATAATGATAGACATGTTAATATGTGGTCCTGTAATACCCCGTAGCCAAACTAGACCAAAAACAATTTTTTAAGAAAAATCTGCAGGTGCTACCAACGGTGGCATCAATGGACCATAGCCTTAACACAATCTGTCCTACACAATTGTTGATGGGATCAAAAACTCTTAAAAATTTCAGCCTAGAAAAATTGGTTAAGTCTTGGACGATTAACGGACTTATGGTGTGTATGTCAAACGACAGTCCGTAGTCCATGACCATCGATCAAGACGCCCTTCACCTACTCCCTTACAAGAGCTATGTATGACCATCATAATTCGTAGTTAGACAGTTGAAAAAGGTCATAATCAAGAATATGTATCCCATCCCCAGGATTCATGACTTGTTTGACCTACTTCAAGGTACTAGTCATTTCTCAATGATAGACCTCAGATCGGGTTATCATCAGCTCAAAGTCAGAGATAGTGACATTTCAAAAACATCATTCAAAACTCGGTATGGTCATTATGAATTTGTAGTTATGTCATTTGGACTAACCAATGCTCCTGCAACTTTCATGGATTTGATGAATAGAGTGTCCAAAGAGTACTTAGACTTGTTCATTATATCTTCAGTGATGATATCCTCATTTACTCGAGGAGTGAGGAAGAACATGAAAGTCATTTGAGAGTTGTTCTGCAGACTCTCAAAGATTGCCAATTATTCTCTATGTTTAGTAAATGTGGGTTTTGGTTGCAATCAGTTGCTTTACTTTGTCACACTGTATCTAGTGAAGGGATCTGCGTAGATTCACAAAAAATAGAAGCAGTGAAACAATGGCCCAGACCTACCTCTGTTATAGATATCATAAGATTCTAAGGTCTAAAAGGTTATTACAGAAGGTTTGTGGAAGGATTGTCATCCATAGCCTCACCATTGACTAGGTTGACTCAGAAGATGATCAAGTTCCAATGGTCAGACGATTGTGATAAAACATACGCAGAATTGAAAACTAGATTGACTACTGTTCCTATCTTGACTCTACCAGAGGGTTCAAATTGTTATTTTATCTACTATGATTCATCCAGAGTTGGCGTATGTTGCGTGTTGATGCAACGAGATAAGGTTATATCTTATGCCTCTAGAAAGCTTAAGGTGAATGAGAAGAACTATCCAAATCATGACTTTGAGCTTGCAGCAGTGGTGTTTTCACTCAAAATATGGAGACACTACTTTTATGGTGTTAATGTAGATATGTTCGCCGATTATAATAGCCTTCACTATGTCTTTACCTAGAAAGAGTTGAATCTTCGCTAGAGTAGATGGCTTGAGTTACTTGAGGATTATCATAAGAGTGTGCATTATCATCCTCGAAAGGCAAATGTTGTGGATGATGCTCTTAGTAGATTATCTATGGGTAGTGTACCCCATGTTGAGAAAAAAAAGAAAGGAGCTAGTGAAGGATGTTCATAGGCTTGCTCGCTTGGGAGTTCGCCTTATAAGCATATCAGACAGCGGTGTAATAGTTCAGAATGAGGCAGAATCATCCTTGATAGAGGAGGTTAAGGAAAAGCAAGAGAGTGATCCAATCTTGCCTGAATTAAAGGGGGAGATGGTGTACTTCATTACCAAGGTAGATTGAGTGTTCCTGATGTGGGAGAGTTGAGGCAGCATATTCTTGTAGAAGCCAATATCTCCAAATATTCTATTCATCCAGGTGCCACTAAGTTTTACAGCGATCTACTGGAAGTCTAATGGTGGAATGGCATAAATATGGATATATAAGACTTTGTGAGTAAGTGCCCCGATTACAAGCAAGTCAAGGTTAAACATCAGAAACCAGGTGGTATGACTCAAGAGATCGATATTCATAATTGTAAGAGGGATGTGATCAATATGGATTTCATCATAGGGTTACCTCGTACTCGCAGACAACGTGACTCAATTTGGGTGATAGTTGATAGGATGATTAAGTTTTCTCGCTTTTTGGCGGTCAAGAATACATATTCTGCAGAGGACTATGCAAAGCTCTTAACTTACTGAAATTTAGAGGTTGCATAGGGTTCCTTTGTCTATCTTCTCAGATAGAGGTCCTCGGTTTATCTCTCATTGGTGTTGGTGTTGGTTTTTGAGTAGCAATGCCTAACTGATTGCTTGGGCATTATTTATTTGTATAATTTACATAAATCCCATAGTATAAAATCTAGATTACAGGTACTTATATCCTAAAATAACAAATCAATTCAAAATTAAAAATCCATGCTCATCTTCGTCTTTATTTCAACGAAGAACTCTCAGGTACGATTCAAAATTTTTTGTTGAAAATTTTGTTATATACATAATGAACATTTTGAATTTCTACTGATACTTTCGAAGGAAAAAATTTATGACCATAGCTTTTGAGTTTTTAGAATTCTACATAGATCTCATTATAAACATTATGATATAAGGTATAATAGGGGAGAAAAAAATGTTGAGGGTAGGTGAAGACGAGGTCTTGAGAAGATCCCCGTGAAGTACTTTTTGAAGATGGATATTGTTGATGTCTCATGTAACTGAAGGATTACTAAATGTTCAACATGTATTTCATGTTACAGTAAAAGAATAGTTCAACAAACATTATATCCATCTTTAGTTGAAGTACAAATGAATTGGAGGACTAAATTTGTAAATCATAATTCTTGCTCTGGGACTACTTATATTATTATAATTTACCAATAATATATCTATTTCGGAGATGATGTCCATTTTTTTACTTATTTGTTTCGACTCTAGTTCTTGTTCTTTAGGCGAGTGTATGAAGTCTAGTTAGCTAATTAGCAACATGAAGATTTGATGACTTCTATATTATTTCTTAAGACGTGGCTTATTTATTCTTTTTCAACATTATTGGTATGATTATTTTTTAATTGGTGGTTTTTTCATTGTGTGGTGGCAGATCTCAAATATGAATGTAACTTAAAGTTGTTATTTTATAATTAACTTGCGCAAAAGTAGTTATGATTATTTTATATAACTTCAATTTTTGAGTTAAAGATACGATAGCAATAAATATATAACACATATCATGTGATTTAATCATTATTTTACATTTATTAAATTTTATATTGGATAAGTTATGATATATATGTTATGAGTTTGCAGATGTTTGAGTTAATATACTATGAATATGAACTATCAGACATATGTGAATTTCTTTTTTATTTCTGAATTTGAATCTGCACATATTAATCACGACTCATTATTGATTTCAACTTGTTGTAGTTTAATGTATATGTAATGGATTATTATAGAGGTGAGTCACTATGTTGTTATTGTAACGTCTCTGATTCATGTAAATTTTTATTTGATCTAGTAGAAAATGTATACGATACAATAAGATTGCGAAAAGTAGTATGTAAAAGAAAAGCAAAATGTATCACAATACATAAGAATTAATTTTCCCATTAGATGGATGAATGAATCAAGAGAAAACTAATACTAATTATTCAATGTAATAACACAAATCAATACGCAACTATGTAAAAAAATTACCAAGTAAACACATAATTGAGTCAGAAATGAATTTATAAATAACATTACATTGGTGATGTGTAAAAATGTATCAACAGTTAACTAAAACTAATAGAAGAAATAATATTATGTGTTTATGTATTAATTAATCATATACTTCATTTTATCTAAATTTTGTATTAGTTTTTAATAAGACAAATGTGCATGACATTTTGTATAATAAATAACAACTAAAAATTATGAAAGTTAAAGTCAAATTAATAATTGTTATATAGACTCTAAAAATTGAGTTCAAGTATATTAAAAAATATATAAAAAAACACTAAAACTAGTAAAAAATGTCTGACAACTGTCTAGATAATCTTTATGCAATATTAACCAAATCTTCCTTAGCTAGTTTTGTGAATTCACTCTTAGGCCGTGGTGAATTCTCATTTTCACTTACATATTAGCCTATTTAGTGCCATTTTTTACAATAAGATTGCTTATCATGTACGCAGATAATCTAAACAAAATGACAAACTGTAAAATTAGTGAGTTGTAATGTTAACATATATGTGCATGTGATACATTTAAATAAATTTTGGAATTTGATATCTAAATTTAAGTATATGATACATATTAGCAAATATAAAGTATTTTAATTGTTTATTTGATATAGATACTCATTACAACTTGACAAAGTGTAAATGTGTCAAAAAATTATGTTAAAAATATGGATTGAACTTCACAAATGTATCATGTATAATCATATTATATGTGATACAACATTCTACAAACTATAGCATTTTCTAGAATGTGAATTTTATAATTTCATATATTCGTAATACCTATTCAAAATGAGAATAAAATTAGAGTTTTACGTTTCTATATAATGATTTAACTTATTATACATTTCAATACGAGAACAACACTTTGTCATTAATATATTTGATTTTAAAAACAACTAACAAAGGAAAATATCAACGATCTGTCAAAATTTTATATATCATACTCATTAAAACCTGTTGAATCAATATTGTTTATCTTGAATTGACGATCACTCCTTTCTATCGCTCTTGTACCATTGAAAGGATATTCAAAAACACCCGTACCTAAAATGAATTAGAAAAATTCACCTCGATTGAAAAAAATGACTTATATTAGGGATTGTATTCAGTGTTGATAGAGAATTAATTAGAAAGGACGTCGTTCTCATAAGCACTAGCATTGTTAATCTTAGATGAGATTAATTTAATCAATGTAAGATGAAGAAGATAAAAACTTCAAAGCAAATAGAATAACAGTCGAATGGAATAGATGAAAACGTGATTTGAAATTTATTGTAACTAGAGAGAGAAACCTTTTAAAATTCAAAATAGTATTGAGGATCATATTAAGAGAGTGAAATAAACGATATATTTATGGAGCAAAAATAGGAAAGGAAACATGTGTTTGTTTTTTAGGTGAAATGTATATGTTAACTGAAGAATCGAAAAAATAAGGGATTTCAGAAATATTTTTAAATAGTAGGGAATAATGGAAAATGAGGAAAATAAAAATGTGTATATAGGTAATTTTTCCTTATTTCTATGTGTGGTTTATCCTTGTTGACGAACCGGGTGCCTGCTTAAATATGTTATGCATTATCTTATTGAGGACGCTGAGTACAAAAGTTAGAATTACCTTGGACTAAGTGTGGGGTATTGCACACACCACCCATATATTAATTTTTGATGTTGCACTTGGGGTTACACTTTGATATAACTTGTAGGTACCATGTGTACATCACAACGTCCTGGCAAACTGTGGCTCAGCCTTCCCAATGGAACTGGATATGAAGCGGAAATGTACAAATAGTACCTCCAATTCCTAAAAGGCAAACCAAGGGATATATAGCAAAGGTCGTGTTGAAGGAAGGAAAAAGTTTGTATCAGAAGCATCGTGGCTTCTTAATTCTCCAATATCCGCATTAATTGGGATAGCCTAGCTCGTGAGTTCCTGCATATCTTCATGAGGATAAGAGCTCTTATAATGGAGTTTGAATCTGTTCAGCCGGACGAATGCTTCCTCAGTATACTATGTGAGTTCTATGACAACTGGGTGCCGAAAACCCGTGCTTATTATTTTATTGTTTGTGGTTAGAATGTTGCTATTATACCCACGAGAATCAATGATATTCTTGGTATTGTGGAGAAAATTTATATTTTGATGTTGACTAGGCTGAATATGAGGTCCCACCACCAAGCCATCTGACATTTACTATATGGAACGGAGTCCATAGCCTAGTGGAAAAATCACAATAGGAAGAGATATCACAAATATCTTTCATATTCTCACATCATTAAGACACGCGGGCGTCGTTGAAGGTAGTGATGAAATATCTAGTACCAAGCCTATATTTCATATACATCCTTCTAGATTACGTGTGCTTATTGTATGAGTAGATGATGGATATAAATATCAACAATGGAGATATCATTAAATCAACGATGTAGAAGTATCGTGTCCACAAGGGTAACAAGTATGATGTCTGTGGTCTCATCACAAAAATAAGTCGTCTTGCAGGGGTCTCGAAGAAGAACATGGATTTCATGGCTCCATTATACCTAACAACAATCAATATTAACAGTACAAAGGGGCCTGAGACTAATTTAGGACAAATATTCACCACTTTTCAACATCATAGGAAGGACAATTTAATCAAGGAAATAATGTATGGCAGAGAGATGCTCCGATACACAATTGGTGGTATGTATTTTACTAACCATAGATTGGAGAGGCGCACACGCGATACCCACTAAATGATGATGTAAAAGAACTTTTTGGAATTTGTCCTAATTTTTTGGATCCTATTAAGAATGACATCGCAATTAATGAGGACAACCTGCACACGGGCTCCGATGTGGACTTCATTTCTGAGGAGGAGATTGACCCAACCCAAGTAGGCAACGAGGTAGATGGCAATGATATGGAATATTTATAAGAGATCTACTTTACCTTACTGTTCAAACTTTATTCAATTTTTGAAATGCATTAAGGGCACTGCTATTGTACAAGTGTGAGTGGGGGTATGAACAACATATCTGATTTGACATATTGTATGTTGGAATAGTGTTTTTATTTTATTTTGATTTTTTGTAATTTGGTAATTGTTTTCGGTTCTTTGGCCATCAATAGTCCGTTTGAAGCCAGCAAAAATACAAAAAGATTTTTTAATAGTATTCAGTTTGTAGTTATAGATTTAGTCAAGTTGCCCAATGATATATGGATGACAACCGTCATAGGGGCAATTTCTTCATTTGAGTCTCAGGTTGGGTTGTACCGAAGTTGTAATTCTTTGAAAAGAAACTTTATCAAAATCATGACTGAAGTGATGTATAAATGCATTGACATGTTTGTGTGTGATTTAAACGTGCAATTTACAATTTATTGAACCTTCTGCGAAACATGATTTTGTACTGAAATTGATCCTTTCCGAATACAACTTGTGCTATGAGGGGTAGCTTTTTTATGATCTACATGACACGTTTCTGTGTCGAGAACTTCTTGAGGTTATTATTGAAGTGAAATTTAAGTATTATTTTGCTTTAGAGATGACAACATGCATTCCTTTGAAGATTGTTGACACTATTTCGAAGTAATATCCTTAGTCAAGCCGAATTGAGTTTTTTTTTTGCCTTGATTTTGTTTTAACCCACATGATCAGCCAATACCTTTCATTGATACCACAGTATAATCTCAATCCCTAATGCACTATGTTAGGAAGAAAGGTAGAAGCAAAGGAAAAAGTAGATAGGGTGATAAAGAATGGTTGTCGGGGAAGAGTTAAAGAAAAAGGTAAAGCAATGTGTCAGAAGTTAAAATATGAGTTTGCTATAGTCCGTAGGACATTGTGCACTCAAACAAAGGGAAATCGGAGATGAAGGTGGCTAACTTAGTAATATACCTCGATGATGGTCCTCGCCCTAAAAAGGGAAAAATGCACCTAAACTAGAGAGAAACTCTATGAAAAGGGTGGTTGTTGTTGAGTGCCCAAAAAATTATAAATGAGTAATAATAAAGAAGAAAAAAGGGGCAAAATAACATAAGTAAAGGTTGCGAATAAATATAAAGTAGCATTAAAATGTGTAATTGATCAAATAGTATTTTATTTAAGTATAAATTTCATCTTTGGCATATTTATATTCCAATAAGGCTAAGTATATCCAAATTTGTGCCTAGTTTGAATTCTATATGCATTTGTTTAGAGTCGTATTAATTAAGTTGTGTATTTATGAGCTAACAAACATGATTTGTTGTGTAGATAAGTTTAATGGGAGAAATGTACGCAATACGGGACAAATGAAGAAATCCAAAGATTCGAGTCAACATCGAGTAAGGACGAAGCTAAAGAAAATGTGCCAAGGCATTTAAGTGTTGCCTCCACGTAGCTGAGAAGGACTGTAATATTTGTACTGAAAATTAAATTTGGGACAAAATTCCTTCTTGCTCAGGCGACGCGCAGAGGGTAACAAGTCTTGAACGAGAATTTGGAAGGCATCCGCGTCCCGCACCTGAGGCATAGAATTGGTTGTTTCACCTTTTAGTATAAATAATGTTCTTTTATATTTTATTAATTATTCTGTTTCAGATTTTGCAAAAGGGCAACTTAGAAGACGTATTTTGGAGCTTTTAGGGTTATTTATCATTCTCATTTCCCTTCAATCATGGTTATGATTCATATCTATTTGATGGATTTGTGGATTATGAGTAGCTAAATACCATTGTTCTAGGGTTATGGTTACAAGATGAATATAATTTTTTTATTTTGATTTTGGGCTTTTTGTTGACTATCACTTGAATCTCTCTTATTTTCTTATTTTTATATTTCATGCCTGATTAGCATAGAAGTAATTATATTGTACGAAGTGAAATTGTGATAGGAATACGGGGATAGAACATGGGGAATAGGGGGCTTGTTGAAGTCTAAATAGATAAGGTTGATTAGCTTCTACGATAGGGATAAACCTAGAGACATTTCTTTGGTACCCATACTGGAAGATAGCTTAATGTTCAGTATTTAATCACTTTATCCCCGCTCAACGATGTAGTTAGAGTGTTAGGTACTATAGTGGATTAGAGGTCGGGAGACCATGATCATACATCTAACCTATGATTCTGTGTTTTGACAGTTATTAATAAACCATTGAAATTATATTTTTTTCTTGATTCCTGATAAAAACTGCAATCATGGATCGTTCCCCAAGAAATTGTTTGAAACCCGTAAAATTTAGTCATATCAGTTAAATATCATTTTACGTTAGAAGTAGATAAATAAATAACTCTTGAAATCTGCTTATTACATTTGTGTTGAAATGCAAGTTAGCTGAAGTGATAAATCCTAATTGAAATTCCCTGTGGGTACAGAACTTGGGTGTCAAAATTAGTCACTCTATTGCTTATACTATCACGTGCACTTGTGTGTGCGATTTGACAACAACAAAATTCCATCAAAAACTATTGCAACTACTCTTTTCTAGTCCTGCATTAGCCTTCTTGACTTGTCTACTACAAGATACAATGTTTCTTCCATATGCACATGCAAGTGTACATGATCACACAAGTAATATAATGACTCTTAAGATCCGGATTATCAAACCCAACTGATTTATGATTAGCACATATTTAATTTCACTTGTAACTACAATTTAAGGCAAGCATGTGGAGAGTGTTTTATTGGACTTTTAAACTAAATTTTACAATAATAACATTAGCTAAATTTTCTAATAATAATTCGGTTTCAGTTTGAGTACTATTTATGATTTTGGAAATGTAAGGGTTGTATCTTAAATAAGAATTTATGCGTAGTATCTTTAACTGGTAAATTTAAATGGTTATCAAATTACTGATTCACAAGATTAATAATATGATTATGATTTCGTAACCTCTAAGAATCTACAACAATTGACAATCTAACTACATCGTTTAGCAGGGATACATTTATGTAACTACAAAGAATTATGTTTTCATCTTATTTCAATACCAAGCATCATAAGTTGGTGTATCTCTATATTAGATACAAATCAATATCATGTTTGTAAAAAAAATTACCATTCTTCTTCTATTCAACTCCAGAACTCTCAATTCCTCTCCAAAATTAAAGAAAATATAATAGTTTAATTCTAATGGTGTTGAAACAAGAAAATAGTAACTTTTAGAAAAAGAAATAACTCTTATTGATAAACAAAACATGACCTATGGATTTGATACTAACAAATTAATAGTAGATACAAATCTAGAATAAACGGATTTAGCTACTTATAATTTGATTTATAAATTTTTTATCTTAAATATACATTCAAGAAATTAAAATATGAAAAAGAGAAGGATCATTAGACTTCGAAAGTCGAAGACCTTAGCTAGAGCCTCACATGTTGATATAAGCTTATAAGAGCTGTTTTTATACCTAAAATAATTACTATAAACCATCTGGGAAGTGTTAGAGTCAAGATGCCAAGAAACGTCCAAGACATTCGAAAGCACTCTAATTTAACTAATAAATCGTCCTCAGGTTAGGATAGGTTTGGAGGTGTTGTATGAATTCTAAAACATATAAAATGAATATAAATAGGTAAAAAACCATGTATATAGGGTGGAAGCGTGCAGGTGCAACCCCCCAAAAAGGGCCGCTTTATGGATCCAGAAAGGACCCCAAATTTTTGGCAAGCTGCCGAAGATGTAGCAAATACATTTGGCTGAAAGTATTCTGCGTCGCAGACTTTTGTGGCCTTTAATTAAAACTCAATTTTTTGTCGAGGGAAGCTCGTTGAATCCACTGTCTGGAAAATTATTTTAGAAAATCAGGCGAAAAAAGCTCCGCATCGCGGACTTGTTACTCGATGAAAATTATAAATATTTAATTAAAGTTTGACTTCATAAAATGGTCAACTTAAGTGAGAGGTCTTTTGGGTAATTCATGTGAGGTATATATATTTATTTTAAATTTGTTTTTCTAACATTCACTCACTTAAATAAAATCCCCAAATTAAAACTAAAAAGCTCTCACCTGTTTACTTTTTCTCTCTATTCGACCTCCATTGAAGGAACAAAGCTTGAAAAGAAGACCAATTTCTCTGAAATTCCACTTGATTTTCGTGGATTAATCTTCATTAAGGTATGGGTTCTTCACTCTTTGAATTTCATTCCCATGAGGTTCTCTAAATATTGGTTTCTAAAAGACCCAATTTCAAGGTTTTTTTCTTTTCTAATGAGTTTTCTTCTAAATATCATATTGACGGTTGATTATGATTAATTGTGATTTCCTATAGATAATTTAGTGTAGATTGTTGGTTAGTTGATGATAATTGATTCAATTTCAAGTAGATCAAGTCCTTTTTCCCAAATTCTCCGAATCATGGATCTTGCTTATAAATTGATTGGAATTAATGAGTGTATTAATTTTTAGACTTTTTTTCATCTATTCTAATCCATTTATGGACTGCCTAGGTTGATGAGTTGTTTGAATTGAATATATCTTATTAATAATTCATGATGAGACCTTTTCCCCAAATCGTAGGTTATGAATTGAAGGTAAATTGAATAATGATGATGTAATTCACTTAGTTATTGGGTTAATTGCTATTGAATTATGCTAGTACACATATTATTGAATGAGATTTAG